TCAGGCACGAATCTGTCTACTTGCATTATGGAAGAAGCAGGTCATTTTTCAAGAACACGGGGACATGTGAATATAAAATTATGCCCCCCTCCCCAGCAGGCATTATAGCTGTTCACTACTGAAGAGAAGTCTTTATCTCCTGAGCAGTGTAATCTACATCTATCGTGTGGAAATATGTTAACTAACAGATTTCCATATTCAGCCTGGAAAAAAACCTCCTATATACATTTACTAAGGGACAATGCAGAAGAAAGAAGCAAGAAATAGGATCTCTTTATTAACATTAGTTGAACATAATGGTATATAGAAACTTCCATGTTTGCTTACAACTGACCATTTTGCAGAGTAATAGATAATTGTTTTAAAAAAATGATTGACTACTCCTCACTCAAAAATGCTTCAAGGCAGATACCAAACTGCTAGAGAATAGGCAGTATTCTGCACTCTGCAAGCACAAATCCTTCTTACTTCTTCTGCACACTCGCAGCCATCCCTGTTCAGCAGTGCTTGCTTTCTGCTGTGCAGTTTTGCCAGCAGATTTAGAACTCCTGTCATTTTTACCTCAGACGACCTCGGCCCAGCTTAGACAGCATCCTCCAGATTTGACCCCGATGCAGAGCTCACTAAAGGAAAGGGTCTGCTCAGTGACACTAGGATAATAAGACAAATACCCTTAAAGCCTGTAGCTCTGATCCTCTGGCTATCTGCTTTCAGTAATCAGATTCTGGAAAGCTGTCACTGTAAGTCAAGTTGGTACTGTTAAGAGTAAGAAGTGTGGTGCTGTGTGTGAGGCTAACAAACTGAACTCATGGCAGAGTAGCGGTAATAAATGCCCCCTCAAGCCATCTTTTTGAAGAGGCAAATGCTTATCAGAACTACATGGAACTCGTAGGAAAGGGGGGAAAAATTTCAAAAGGCACTTTGAAGTCCTTTTCTTTTGTATTTTTGACACAACAAAAGGAGATGAAGGGGAGATGTTCAGAGCCACTAAGAGCTGTGGGCATGAGGCTAGTTTCTTACATAATTAACTCACAAAACTCTGCTGGGTTCTTTCATGGCTATGAATTTTCATGTAATACTGAAATTATTAATTCCTACAGCCTACTGTTGTTTCTCATTTCATTTTAGGGAATAAGCTTTTCCCAGCTGATACAAAATACTAACATGGCTTGCTTTCCTAATTAGAACAGAAATCCTGAAGACAAGGAAACACTGAAGGAATATGAATTTGGTGTGGCCTAAATGACAACTCTTTTTTTCTGCTAGAGTTCACATAATGAGGAAGACTCTATGAGACTGGAGAGGTAGGAAAAAAAAGACTGATAACACTACATCTAATTTAATAAAGTGAGAGGACAGCAAGGAGATTTTAAAGCCAATGTTGCAGAGCACTGAGTGATGTACTGTGGAAAAGATTTATAGTTTGATCTAAGGTTAAACAGAGATGTGAACAAGACAGATTTTAGCATCATCAGGAAAATAAATGATTGGTTACCTTAACCGTAAATCCAATCAACTTTACTATCAGATCAAGTCCTTATTTCTCCTTCATATAATCCTGACCCAGAATTTCTGATATGAAGGTACAAACTTTGATTTTTTTTTCCCCCTTCACAACACAAACCAGCAACACTTGGTAACTGATTGAAAAAAAAAAAAAAAAACCAAACCAAAAAAAAACACCAAGAGAGAGGAGTTAGACCCCTTGTCATTGCAGAAATGTAACTGCCTATTTGCCACGTGCACATGCTTTTCAGATTTCCATACTGCTTCTCACTGCTTTATACTGGGCCTAAATTAGTTCAAAAATCCATACCATCCTCATTGTGAAAAGGAGAGAGGAAACAGAGCTCTGCTTTGAGCTGCTGCCACTTGCAGACAAAAGGGGGGAAAACATAACCCTACATGCACATTACTGCTGTCTGGAAGATGCTTTCAGTGGTGAAGCTGAGTCACACACACTTACAGATCTCTACAGACCAGTCCCTCCGTGTAACCTCTGAGAGAAAGTGGCATGCTCTCAGGGGGCATTATAACCACAAGAATACATTTCATCAAGAACTTTAAACTGAAGCCTGGATGCCCAAATCTCTGCATTTCGGCGTTTCTAGCAGTTAGTTCTGAACACCGCAGAGAAAAGCGGAGGTGTTCTTCTCGGGTATCTATGTGCTAGCAGACCTATAAAAAGGTGACAGTCCACTTTTGCTCCTGTGTGCTCAGGTAGCTTAAATATGAGGATCTCTGCTCTAGATCTAAGGACACCACTTTGCTAGGGACCTAACTGGAAGCCACTTTGGTACTCCACATGTCAGAATATACTTGGGTTTTCACCTTTTAGGCATAGATATGGAAATATACCTGGAAAAAAAAGTGTCAAAAGTAGGACTTGACCATTTTTATTTAAAACCACTTCTCTGGTGAAAAATGATGCCTAAGAACTGAACAATCTTTAGCTGAAAATCTAATTTCTGTTTGGATTCGCCACTATGTGGCATCATGTATCAGGTGCCAATTATACCCAGCATCTTCTAAATTCTCCTTAGCCAAAGAACCAAATTTCACGTCATTCCCAGAGCAAGACAGAATAGCATGAAATCTGTTCCTCCACATTAGTGGTAAAACCACAGGCCTCATGAGAAACAGAGTATGTTCAGGCACTCTGACTACAGGAGCAAATGGAAGAGTAAAGCACGTGTCACTAATTATTAATTTGTCTTGCATATGCCCAGTTTGTGATATCTGGATCTTGACCTGTCCTTGAGAAGCAATTCTGACTGCAAGTTAACCCAATGAGAGACATCATGAAAACAGAAAAAGGAGTTAAAAAAGGCTGATGACACTGATGGATAAGCTCTGGTATATCTTGATTGGCAAGTTTTAAGATACCCCTGCTGCACAGCAGACAAAATGTGACATTAGCCACATCACTACAAAATCTGGAGTCTTTAAATCTCTAATAAAGGTGGCTTTGAGCAAAGGCGCTGCTCTGCACAGGGTTGCTTGAAACAGGCACACGAACTTCTGTCAGTTCTGTCGGGTGGAAAATCACCCCTCGGAATCACAAACCAGGCACTTAAAATTAGTAGATCTTTTTACCTTTAGCTGCCCGTGTCTTTGTTCTAGTGTGGATAACAATACCACCTTCTATCACAGGGTTGCCATAAAGATAAATTCATTAACATTTGTAGATAAGTCAGTTATTAGAGAGAAAAGCACCACAGAAAAGGCTGTGGGTAACTGTCTTAATATATCAATTCAAGATGCACTGTAATACATATAGATCATATTTGGAAAGAGGAATGTTAGTAAATGATGTACAAATGATACACAGGCATTGTGTATCCTCCTAATGAATGAGGAAAGGAAAAACCATTCACGTATGAAAATGTAAATTAAAAATATACCATAATGCAAGGAAATTGTATGTGACACCTCTCTTCTGGCACTTCCTAATTCCTTATGACATAAACAACATGTATTTTTAATGTGAGTTTTTTTATGTGACATCCTTAGCAAAGGACAGTTGAGATGAGTAACACGTTTCTGTAGTTCAATTCTAGAAACCAACAAAGACAGCTGGCATAATTTATACAGCTAACGAAAGCTTACTCCAAAACCATGACATAACTGCAAAAGACTCTAGTTTCCATTATCACCACGTTATAACTAGGTCAGACTAAATAAAGCAGTAGATTTAGATTTTAAAGGATAGTTATGAATTTAATATGAATGAAGGCTAAATAAGGTTGCCAACTGAAAGGTCACCGAGAAGCCAAAAAGTAGATTTTTTTTTTTTATTTTTCAGATGACAAAGTTGAGCAGTAAGCCAGCATAAAGATTTTTTCAACAGCAAAGATATGGCAACAAGGTGCCTAAAGAACCTGAGTGTGAAGAAAATGCACTTAGAATCTAATGAGATTAGGCAAGCTGAAAACAAAACAAACCAAAAGACAAGCTGGTCTAGATAAAATAAGAATATTCACAGGTTTTTTGAAATAGCTGTCATGTGAAATAAAAAAAAAAGGATGGGGTGGGTGGGTTGGAAGGAAAACAAATAAATATATTTGCTAATAAGCAGAAAGGTAATACAGTGCCTACATCCCTAGCAAACCAAATCAGTATTTTTGCTGTCTGTCACCCTTGGCCTCGAAGGCCAAGAGAGTTTGTTGACACTTCTAATCTACAATAGGGATGGTTTTAAATGCCTTTAGTTTCATAAAAGCTATCACCATTATTTTATTTTTTCACAATCGACCTGAGTAGGAGTGACATCATGACAAATGGGGAAAAAAGTATCATCTTCGTGATTCCAATGTACAAAACATTAAAAAGCACATCAGGTCATCTGAAAAATCAATCCCTAAAGTAGCATGTAAACATGAATAAAGATTGGCAAAAGCTTCCTCCACCGTGAGCAGTTTTAAAACAATTGTCACAGATGACATTTAAACCATGATAAAGCCATGCAAGTCTGGGAACAAAACCGAAAATAATGTAGAAGCTTAACTCAAAATCACTGTATCTGGTTATTTTTTTGAAGAGAAAGCCCCACAAAGCAAGCAGGGTTGTGGCAACAGGGCTGCACCTTTAAACAATCCGGCTTTGCAATGGCAGCACCTTCCCAGAACTGCAGTTTTATACCCTGCTTCGGTTTGGATTTTGAATGATCCAAACTTGCCACAGTTTATTCAAGAGACCCCAGAAATACAGACACACCGAGGAAAAAGGGGAAAAAAACAACCAACCAACCAACCAAAACCCAGAAGGCGCACTCGGAGCCGGCACGCCGAGGCTGTACTCCTGCGACAGCAGACCCGCGGCCGCGCTGGCAGTTCCGGGGATTCCCGCGCCGCAACCGCCCCCCCCCCCCCCCCCCGCCCAAATCCCGCCTTGTCCCGCAGCGTGGCACCCCGCTTCCCTCACCCCCTCACGAAAGTGCGTGGGTATTTCTGTAAGCCAGAGCAACAAACCGCTCCGTGAAGGAACCTGGAATACAACCAGAGAGCTCTCTCTCGGGTTGAGAGCTCTGGCTCGCAGAGCGGATACACCGAGGCTTTGTTGAAACGCTCGGAGGCAAAAGGCTTCTGACCCACAGCGTGGCGGCGAAGGGAAACACCCCGGCGGGAAGGGGAGAGAGCGCTTCCATGTTCCCAGGCGGCTGAAACAACGACGACGCCGCCGCAGGAGCCGGCTGCCCCCCGCCTGCTTCCCCTGCATCTCATCCCCCAACCGCCGGGCCGAGCCCGGCGGCTCAGCCCCGTCCCCGCAGCGGCCCTCCCGCCTCTCCCGGCCGCGGGGCAGGCGGCTGCCGCCGGGTTCTTTCGGCGGAGGGCAGACGCGGGCACCTGCGGCCTGCTCCCCCCACGCCGCCGCCGCCGCCAGCCCCCGCCCCGCCCGCCGGGCCTCCCCCGGCCGCGGCCCGTAGGCGGGGCGGGATGCGGGCGGCGCCTCCCGCAGCGGGGCCGAGGCAGCTCGTCCCCTCAGTCGCCGCAGCATGAGCGGGCCGGGGTTGCTGGGGCCCGGTGGCGGCGCGGGGCTGCCGCCGCTGCCCAAAAGCCTGAGCGGGCTGCTGAACTCCTCCTCCTCCGGTGGCGGCGGCCAGGGCGGGCGCTGGCGGGACCTGGAGCGGCTCTACGCGCAGAAATCCCGCATCCAGGACGAGCTGAGCGGCGGCGGCCGGGGCTCCCCGCGGCCGCCCAAGCCGCCCAACCTGGACGCGGCCCTGGCCCTGCTCCGCAAGGAGATGGTGAGCGGGGCGGGCCGCGGCGGGGGCGGCAGACGTGGCGGGGGGCGGGGGGGGGGGGGGCGCTACCGCTGCTCTCCGGCCTCCCCGGGGCCGGGCCCGGTGGCCGAGCGGAGCGGAGCGGCCCGGGTGGGTGTGGGGGTGGGCCCGGGCCTGGCGCGGCCCCGCATAACCCGGCCCCGGGGGAGAGCCGGGACCCCGCCGGCCCGCGCCCGTCGTGGCGGGGCTCCTCCGCCTGCGGGGTGGAGAGGCGTTTGGGGAGCGCCTGGGTCAGGGGCGTCCGCTCGAACCCGACACCCATTTCAAAAGGCTGTCGCTTGAAAGGAGGAAAAAATGATCAGCAGCGAGTCGTGCAGTTCAAGCGAAGTGCGATTAAATGTAGCTTTCTTCAGGACTTTGTTTGGATTCTGTAGCGCGGTGTTATTAGCGAAATTCCCCCGGGCGACCTGGCACGTCTTTTGATTAAACGCTAGTTTGGGTGTTGGTGCTTTGCTGGTGCCAGCTGCAGTTGTAATGAGTAATAACCACCTAAGCATTGTGCACTTAATATTCTGAAACATATAAAATACGATATTGCTGAAAATTTGCCCATTTTTAAGGCCTTTTTCCTCATGGTGAAGAGCTGTTTGAAGCACAAGGAACTCTGTTGAAAGATCTTTCTGTGGATTTAGAAGGACAACGTATTGTCCCAAAATCTTAGTCTGCCATCAGTTCTTCAACAAGTAGTTCGAATACAGTTTGAGATATTCTTAAAACAGTGCATTGGAGTTGCCAGTTTGCGTTGAAGCAGAGGAAACGCAAGAAGCTACCTACTGCTGGGGCTTTTTTTCTAATAGGGGAAACAAGGATATTATCTTAGTCATCTTACACCTTTCCAAAAAAGCAAAGATAACTCATTATAAAAGTCTAATCTGTTTTTCATAATGGAAAATCAAATGAGATGCTTCTTAGTCATTTGACAACTAGAGTTCCCCTTTGATACTCTGTTATCCTTGATGCTAATTTGATAAAACACTTCTGAAGGAAAAAATACTTTATCCCTGAACACATCAAAGACTTTCAAGCAACAGTCCCCTCTGTTCCAGGTGTGCTTTTTGTGGCCCACACAAGAGACTCTTGTGTACTAATAGGCTGCCTTTCATCAAATAGGTAACAACACTTTATTATTTATATTGAACACGCTTTCTTGCAGCAAAGATAGCATTTCTATTGAGTGATGAGCTTGCTTTAAATTTTCAGTAATGCATGAGGAAGAAATGCAGCATCTTTCCCTGCATGATCAAGCAAGGTACTATGTATATAAGTTTTTAAAGATGAAAAAATGATGGATTTAGATGCGTTGGAGGGGGAGGGAGGGAAGGAGAGGTCGCTTCAGAACTTTGATCCTGAGAAACAGTCAACTGCATGGGAGTGCGCGTTACAGGTTGTCTTGTAGGTGCTATGATAAACCTCTAGAATTGAATGCACGTTGGTTGTGATTAAAAACTTTATGCTTGTGCTGTCAGGCTTGGACATCTCCTCAGGCTTTTGCTACCTCGGGGATCATACTTGAAAGTTGTGAAGAGCTAGAGGCTGTATTTTTCTCAGTAGACTTATTGTTCCTGTTTGATTGTTTGACACTACTCTTAGCTACAGAAAAATAAGATATCAAATGTAACTGGTGTTACAGCCTGCTAAGTTAATTCTGCTGAGTAATTTCTATTTTGGAGATTGTGTTTGGCATAGAACTGATCTTCACAGAAAGCACTGAAGTGCTTTACAGAGTTGAAACGTGAGAGCTGCTGGTGAAAATGCTCCCGCTTTCCTCAGGAGACGAAGAACTGGTTGTTTGTCTCCCGGTGGAGTTTTCTGGCTCAACTCACTCCTAACTGCTCTTTGAACAGTTCTTCACCACAGTCTTGTCCTTCAGACATATAGCTCTGATGCGAGTCTGCCTGGTGGGTCTCATGTTCGCATATCATAGCGTTAAGTCTGGCTTCACAGCATCCTTTCTTAACCGGAGGCAAGCAGTTTGTTTAGGTAGGGCAAGCCAAACTTCATTGACTGCTGCCTCCAGAGGTTGATGTTCAGACTTTATTTTTGGGCAGGTAAACAGTCATTAGCTTAACATGTCTGAAGAAATTACTTCAGCAGGGCTAGATGGAGGAGTCTGGATATGGTACAGATATCTCCCTTTTATTTTCCCACCTGCGGTCTTGGTTGGTTGGGTTTTGTTTTACAAATTGTTGCAAAAGGAGATTTGCAGAAGTGCTGGTTCCCGCCTACAGAATAGAGAGCAAGAAAGAGTAGCGTGTACTTCCTGCAGAGTGAATGCTTAAGTCACAAGTGGAGGGAAAGTTACTGTGTTTGTTGCAGAGGAAAATGGAGATGGGTAACAAAAGCAGCATAGATCTAAGGTGGTGGAAAGGCTTGTCTGTAACCTCCCAGCAGATAGCGTAGTGCTCCACGTCTTGTTCCATTTCTTGCCCTGAAGTCCTCGTGTTCAGTCTGTATGTGACATCACGTCTCAACTTCATGACTTCACCACATAATTTGTGTTGGTCCTGAAAGACGCTGTATCCTATTTTTCTGAGTTGGAATGGTGTTGTGGTGTATGATACTTTGTGGTTTGTTGCTTGGTTGGTTTTGTTTGTTTGTTTGTTTGTTTCCCCCCCCCCCCCGTCCTCCTTTAATCTTCAGAAGAAGGAGCCAGTAGAATAGTTCAGCAATGCTGAAGGAAGATCTTCATGCTAGCTTCTTGCATTTTTTTGTGTGCTGAGTGTATCTGTCCTTAGAATTAAGACAGGAGAGATTTTTGCGGTAAGAGTTCTCATTCTGGGTAAAATGTAGCCTGGCATTCAGGCAGCAGTAAAGGCTTCTTATATTAATTATTGTTTTCCCTCTGAACGTGGTGTGTAGCAAAAACTTTTATTTGATGAAACTGAGGCTCACAAGGAACAGCCTATAATTTTAACACTTTTTAAAATTTAGGCAAAAATGGCTGCTCTTGAAAATGTTTAATTGGGTAGTGGTTTTAATTTACTGCAAGACAGAACCTAGATTTAATTTAATCTGACTTGGATAGGTGACAGTATCAAATGAACTCTCCATTTTGTTGCCAGAGAGGGAGACTGCTTTGAGTTAAATTACTAGCTTTATTTTGCTTTGCGGTGCAACACACTGATTTTGTACCTGCATAAGGAGTCAGGCTACCAGGTAACCTTTTTTTTAAAATGTTGCTCCAGATAGTTAATTAGCTCTATAACTAGTATTTTAGAAGTTTGGGGGCCAAAATATTAGGTGCTTAATTATAAACCAAGCCTGTGCTCGAGTAGCATGTGAAAATACTCTAAAGATTTGCAGGCTGCAAAGTATGTCCTTATCTCACTTCTGCTTTAGTTTCATTACTTTCAGGTAGCATGCTGTATTGTGCTAGACGTACCTAGCCTATGTATGTCGATACAGAAAATAAAATTATAGAAGAAGATACTTAGCCAGGAAGAGGAAAATCAGCCAAAGCTCCATTTGCAACTTTTAATCCAGATTGTTTTAAACAAAAACAGGGAGCCTATGATACTGTGTGAGAAAAATGTGTGAAAGAGTGTTGCTGGAAAAATCTCTCTTGCATAATGAACTACACAGAGTTCATGAATTTATCTGTAATGTTTCGCATAGGAGTGAACTGCTTATTGGAAGTTTTAACTTTGTTTAGGGCACTGTAATATGACAGAATCTTGAAAAACACTTTGCTCATGTTGTGCTGTATCACATATTTGTTCCCTGTTCACTTGTCCAGTTTATTCCGTGGCAGTCTGTTACTTTAGAAAACAACCTATACATCCGTATTTCATGACTGTTCAAGGTAGAAAGAATCTTTATCCTCTTGTTTAGCAACAAAAGATATATAGCATTACACTGCCAGTTAAAATCACAGTTGTGATACTGTTTGTTTGAATTCTTCCCCCCCTCAGGTTGGCCTTCGGCAGCTAGATATGTCACTACTGTGTCAGCTGTACTCCTTGTATGAATCGATTCAAGAATACAAAGGTGCCTGCCAAGCTGACTCTAACGCAGACTGCACGTATGCTCTGGAAAATGGTTTTTTTGATGAAGAGGAGGAATACTTCTAGAAGCAGGAAGACTCACATCCAGGCTGACCGAGGTTCTTTCGTCCTTCTCTCCCTGTAACACACCTCAGCCAGAATGACTGGAATCTGTATGGATCCCTCTTCCTGAGGAGGAACACCCAGCTACCCCAAGTTGTTTAAATTCACTTATTTTAACAGGCTGTCAGTACAAGTTAACTCATGCAAATACCACTTGAGGAAAGTGCTGTACTCTTAACTTTTGAAGAGTCCTCAGACATGCTTGACAAGAGTTTTCAATTTAATTTGCAAGGTGGGTGTTTTCAACTTCCAAATGTTGGTAGCTTATAACTGGAATTTTAATCGTAGAAGACAGCAGTGACTTCCTGAGTTGTAATAACTTCTTAAGGGGGGAGGGAACCCTCTGCTGTAGTGTAAATAGCTATAGGTGATTTGTTTTGGTCAACGGTATTGATAAATGCATTTTGAACAGGCGTCTGGATGCACACACATCCAGCTCTACTAAGCTAGTTCTGCTCTTACCAGCTGCATCCAGTTTTGTACTGGGTGGATTGTTTACACAATTTAATTTTTTTTTTCTCCTTAAGCTAATTTTGACTTTTCCTTACTCTTAGCTTACAAGCTGTACATGTCATAGTGAATGTTTTCAGCAGTTTTTTTCTGTTGATCTAATTCACTTTCTTGGTACTGCCACTTGGCATTAACTTTTATACTATTGTCTGGATATCTTGCATCAACATAGCTCTTTGACTTGCTAAACTGTTCTGAAATGGCTTGCTTAGCTTTTACTGCACTGCATAGTAAAAGCACAGATTCAAACATAGTCTGTCTGCCACTATGTGGCTTGGAATAACGTGAACTCTTGTGCAAGTGTTCTTGATCATATGAAGGATAAGGAGACCTCTCATATGACACAGTGGGACAAATTGCAATATTTTATACCGAGTGAACTTTTTTTCTGTAAGGTAGACTACAGCTCTTTTTAAAAATGCAAAATAAGTATTTTGAGCACATACTTTGCATATGTTAAAACTTTTATACTAACTTGTTCTTTCAAGTATAACTTATTTTTGCTTTCAAAACTTACTAAAGCACTCAGTTACATTTTTTTATTATTTCATAGTGTGCACATGTAATGCTTAATCAGCTTGGAAAATGAGAGTTGCCAGCTATCTGAGTCTTCACCCTTCTCTATTTTAAAGTAAAATCAGCTCCCAATACAAGTTTAATTTCTTAACTTCAATTCTAAAGATTGCTGTAAAGCACGGTGCCTCAATCTTGACACAAGCTAATAATTAAGGGCTTAAATCTCAAAGGGTTTTTGCATGGTTCATGTCTGGCATGCATACAGTTTACAGAAAGAACTGGAGATCACATTCTGGGGTAGCTCCTCTCTTAGTTTTTAGTAAAGGCTAGGATGTTGTAGTGGTAAAAGCCAAGAGACTTCCAGGATCGAGTTTTGTGCATTCCTTCTAAAACTGGCTTATTTTAGTGGAACTTAAAGGCCATGAGAGTAAAGATTGTGCTGTAATCGTGCATGTGTATAAGTTCTTAATCTTGTCTGTAGCAATGATTGGATTTTTTTAAATGTTACTTCTGGTCTAATTACTTCACTCACCCAAAACTAAAAAGAATGATAAGGCAAACACAGATAATCCAAATGGCTACATCTATTTTGAAAAAGTTGCGTGCGTATGTGTGTATATATGTATGAGTATATACACACACGTGTACGTACAACTTTATGCTTTGACTGAAGAATGTATCAGCTTTGAATATAATTTGCTGTGCTTTTGGTATTTAGATGAGGCTTTTTCTAGTCTGTTGAAATACTGCTATTTTCTTGCTCTTTCCCAAAAAATAAAAAGCATGATATTTAGCATAATTTTTTAACGCTGTGTGTATTTTAATTTACCTCTTCAGTGAATCCAAACCCTCCCCTCTTTTCAGCCTTCCCCTAAAACACCTGGGACTAGTCATCACCCCTTGATTGAAGCAAGCAGTTTTTAAATTACAGTGGAAAAGGTTCTACCTGCCTGTATTTGGAATGGGAGTTTCCTACTTCTCTGTCTTAATTGGATTTTACTTTTTCTTGAATTCAACAGAGAAAATCCTGTCTCTACTAGAATGAAAGATTCTGTTTTACAAATCCTTACATGGTGCCATTCATTAATAGTCCTAACGGTGAGAATTCGAGCAAGATTCACAGCACTTTATAATGAAACTTAAAAAGCAAAATGACTTACGTTTCTAATTTTAATGTATCATTCTTGTGAGTTGAGGAACATGGAATGTTTGGCTGGTATTCACAGTACCAAGAGAAGCATAAACATCTCAAAGCATCACTCCACAACATTATCTGCACTGGAAAAAAGGGTGGATTATTAGGACTTGGTAAGTTTTCAGCACCTTGTCCCTTTTAACTTCTCTCCCATTCAAGTAAGTATTACTATAGTCTATATTCCCAAGGCAAATTGAAATGCTGTGAAGGCTGGCTAGCTAGACAACGGTTTTAAAAAACAGTGAATTTGTTATTAAGTCAATAAGGAGTTGTTCCAGAGGCAGATTTCTGTGCCTGATGTTTCAGCTGTATCTGTTTACTGCATTATAACAGCATGAAGTAGGGAAACGGCTTTGAAAGAGAGGTGCTTGGTGGGAAATTACAGCTTAAATACTGATTGTTACATGCAGCTTCAAGCCAGAGTTTACTTGTCTGCATGACAGAACAAGCTGTGTTGGTACAAAAGCTTGTTACCCTTGGTCCAGACTGCATACCAACAACAATCCCTTTCCCATTTTTTTACTCTGTAACCCCAATTTGAATTACACATAACCTTTTAAGAATACCTTTTAAGGGTATAAACAAACTCTTGAAAACTTCCCTACCCGGTGAATACCACAGAGCTCTTCCAGTCCCACACAGTGCAGCCAGCTTAGCCAGTGCTGAGTGTGCACAGGAAAAGACAGGTTTACAAGGAGATGAGGACAGTCAGGTTCCTGCTGCTCAGAGATGGAAAACTGTGAGTACAGCAGTTCACAAGGCAATCTACCATGGGTAATCATTCACAGGCCTTTCTCCAAATGGCCTACACATGTGGTAAAGCGCTTAGAAATCAAGGAGTTATTAGGTCTGTGCTAGCTATATTTAAAGATTTTTTTTTTTTAACAACATAGCACCCTCATTTTATTGCTATGACAACTGCAGAGTCATACAGTCATGTCATAATTACATCACAGTCTAATCCCTTGGAAATGTTCTTAGTCTACAAAAAGAGAAGAGACTGGAGTAAGTGCTCTGCTCTGGAGAAAGTGGGTCCCCTAAAAAAAGGGTGGCTGATATATGTTCACCTGGCAGCTCTAACAGGTGAGCATTTAGGTTCAGCTTTGGGTCCTGGTGAATTCACTGTCAGGCCTATTGATTTTAGTGGGGATGGACTGCAAAGCAGGGATCTTTTTCCTGAGATTAGAACTGCTGATCAGTCTCTTATTTCCCAGACTCTGGAAGAGCTGTATGGTATCTGTACTACGATACAAGAGGTATTCAAATACACACTAGAACTGCTTTCAAAGGTACTGCTTTGTAATGCTGTTAAACATGGTAGGGAATCATTTGAATAGCTCATAAAAAAGATCAGTGTTGTTTCAAAGAGTGTTTTTCAATAAAGGTGGGGCAAAATTACACTGTTTATGGGTAGCTTGAACTTGGATGCTTGCTAGAGTTGAGTTTTTAATACAAAATTGAGTCGTGTGAAATTGGAAGACTAGGAAAAGGATTATGCAAAAATTATTATATTTGTAATTAGTTCCTAATAATAGGTAACCAAATCATCTTGCAACTTATAAAGTTGGTATTTTTAAAATTATGTCTACAATTTATTGTAAATAATAGTTTGCAAAATTTTAAATGCACCAAAGAGAGTAGCAAAGCCCCCAGCATCTTTGTAAAAAGGTTGATTCACTTAGTACCTATTCACAAACCTAAGGTTTTGCCTCATAGTCTAGTTCATAAGGAAACAAAGCTTATGCAATGACTCTGTCCATGCATTTTCTGTCAGTCTGTTTGTGATAGACAACATCTGATAGGATAGAAGCTGCTGTTTTTACAAATCTTGGAGGAGAGAGACCCTATCAAGAAGGTCTTTTCTTCTCCTGTGTGCACCTTTGTGTCCTTCAGCCGCTTCAAAAGAATTTACTCTCATTTTCGTGATGCCCGCCTTTAGAGGATACATTAACACAGCAGTTTGAGGTTCATATTCCTTTTCATATGCTGTGTGCATTTGCTCAGAAAACAACTCAGTACAACAGCAACAACTTATTTTTCCATCCATTGTTATCTTTGGTTTATGTGAAGCTACTAAATTTAACTCAGACAATGCTGCATGACCTAAGGAAATAACTTGTTTTCTTAGCAAACTAGTTAAAAGCTCTGTCTTATTTGCAAAGTCATCTTATACTGACTTTAACATTTTCTAGGAGTTTAAAAGCTCCCTAAACCATGTGCTAAATCTTTCTAACTGGCTGTTCTATCATCCTGGCGAGTCCCAGCACCGCCACGAGCTTTGCAAGCACCCAGGGCCTGCTGCGAGGAGTAGCTTCTGCCGTGGCCCAAGGAACCCGGGGGATCTGTGCGGACACAGCCCACACATGGTGACAAACTCTCCCGAGGAGCTGAGGGTGTCTGGAAGAGTGGAGGTGGCCCCACAGAACCCAGGTGTGCTCCTGGGCAGATGTGATGAGTTAAACCGTAGCTGAGGCTCGGCCTGTGCCGAACTGGCTTGCGGGGCAGTTAGGCCTTACAAAGAGGCAATAGGATTGGCAGCTTCTCACTCCAGGTGAGCAACGTCGAGTTTGGCCATTTGTTTTTAAATGGCAGAGGAACTTTGGAGGGGATGAATATTCACTGCAGAAGCCTGTTTCCCTTACATTTTTGGCTCCCTTTCATCCTTTCTATTCAGGAAAATTCATTAGATGAATGTGGAAACAACCAGCCCTGACTAATGAAGCCCACATCTGATTTCAGAGGAATGTGCTTTTAGCAGTAGAATTTACATTTTTCAGATAAGGTTGGTATGCAACTTAAAGAGACAAACCCATTTGCTATTGAAATACACAGCCTTGTGACTATTTCAACTCTTCACTGAACTTTTGCCATGGGTTTTAAATGCATTCATGCTAAGACATTATTAAGATAATGTAACCTTTGAGAATTCCTCAGTTTAAAATGAGAGGAGAAATCCCATGCAAATCATGGATTATTAGAATTTTAAAATAATGTGACCGAAGCAGACTGTTTAGAATTCTTGGTGCATAGAGTTCAATCCTGTGTCAAACCACTGCCTTAAATTTATGTTAGCAGTAGTTGTTCAATCGTCCTTGCAGTGCTAACTACTTTCAGAAATCACAAGCATTTATTCTATGGGTCAGAAACATCCCTGTGATTATCTAGCTAGACACATGAGTAAGAGTTTGAGAGCTCATTTTGGCTCAGGATAGCAGGCACTGTCACAAACAATAAAGTTGCCTGTCTGAGCCCTACCAGCTCTTGTTTAAACTCGTCAAACAGCTGAACCTTTTAAATCATTTACAAAAAGGCAACATAATAAGGTCATTACTTCAGTTATAAAAGCACCCAGATGACAGGGACAGTATATTCCATTATTTTTCCTCTGAGTTCAACCTTTTACAGTGTCTTAGGTTTAACTGAATCTGGAATTTAACAAAAACGTGTAGCACTAATTATTGAAAGCCCTCACAACCTACAATTTCGTTAGGGTTGCTTAAGATACTAGAAAGTTCAAGCAGGGTGTGCAGAGGCAAATTAACAAGGAGTGATGCAAAGTTTTGAACAGGTGAAGAACAAGCTTAAACAAGACCACACTTCTAACTTGTTCCATTACTACTAAATAACATCATGGGCTGTTCATATCATGGAATAAAATTATTTTTTATATGCTACATTATACAAAAGGTAAGCTACTGAAATATTAAACTAGTTGTTTGGTATAGGGGAAGGACATTCTGTAAGAACCAG